TATCATTTTTGGGCTTCTTAGCTTGTTTTATTGAATTCTTTATTATCTGTCCTTAAGAACCCTATCAACCCTAAGAAATTTTAAAGTTCTAGAAGAAAAAAATCAAAATTTTTCTTTGGTATACTACTTAGATATATATAGTCATGTATATGATTAATATAGTTAGTATATGGTCAATATATAATATATAATATAAAAAAAAATAAAAAAGGTAAAGAGTTGGAAATTTCTTAAGACTCTTAAGGCTCTTAAGGACAAGTAGTAAATTCCTTTCTGAGAGTTCTTAAATTACCAGTTTGCTATATTAATGCGTCCTTGTTAAGTTTTTTTTTGCCGTCCCTATAAATTTTTCATGGGGTCAAATTTTTGATAAGTCATTAAGACCAATTTATAGCATTAGGCATTTTCATTCTATTGAGAGCCTGTCTCATTGCCTCTGGGGTCTGACAGTTCTGAAACATCTTATCCAACTTTTTCCGATGATAATATGCATTTGAGTAATACTTTTTTACATGCCAATCACAAAATTCATATTCAGAAGCCATTGGTCCTTCACATTCATCTTATTTGCATAGAGGTCACTGGCGCCTTTTCCAGTGAATATAACACCCTTCTGGTTTTTTACTTCCCTGTACAGAAACCTCCCTTTCATTGGAACGATACTGGCAAATGTATTTAACACCTATTGATATTATTCTTAGATAAATAACACTTTGATATTTATAATTATTTATTTTTATTTTAAACTTTTTTGTTAGGGTATTATACTAAAACAGTATACTAGATAACATATCCGAAAAATTTTACTATGACACAATCTGAGCTTTCAGAGTTTCTCAATGCCTCCGCCTCATATAAACAAGGTTTTAAAGCTGAATATATCGGTGAATGCTTATATAAAATTTGTGATGATAATGTTAGACCAAGACATTTCCTTGGTGCAGATAATATGGATGAAATAAAAGCAATACTTTCAGATCGTGAAGGTCGTTCCTTACATGAATATATTAATGGTGATGAGCCACTCCATCCTATCATAGATTTTGATTTGCCAATAGAAACGCTAAATGCTATTTCATCTAAGCTATCAGACAAACAGGCTAAAAACACATTTTGCAATGTTTATAGAGATGTCTGTCTAAAAATATTTCCAAAATGTGATAAAAAACTATATCCATTGCTGATAGTAGTAATGCGAAAAAAATATCTCTCTATGTCTCAACTTTCGGTATGAGACTTCCAAGCATCACTCAGGTTGCAATATTTACTAAGCTTGTTCATAAAAAACTCTCAGCAGGATTACAGGATAAAGGTATTGTAAACAATATAGCAAACAAACGATCATTTTCCTTGCGAATGCTTGAATCACCCAAATACAATGAAAAAACAGAGGAACATGTTCGTATAAAAAAAGCTATTTGTCCAAAAGATGGATCTATCTTCAACTTCATGATCCGCCCACCCAATAATGAATCAGAAATCATCTACAACAGTCCTCTTTTGGCTGTTCCAGAAATGGAAAATGTAAAATATGCTAACATAAGTAATGAGACAACCATAGCTGAATTCGAACTAGTAGAGGCATACTTCAAGAGGCTAGTATCGAAAGGTATAGTCTCTCATATCCATCTGAAAATTTTCCTGATAAATTTCCACTATTGTGCATCTCTCCATCACACTGTCCAATATGTAACCGAAAGCATGATAATAATAATGCATATATTATTTGAAATAAAAAATCATATAGCTTTTTTTGCTACCGGGCAAATAATGATAGGGAACCCCACTCCAGTAAACCTTCGAAAAAACTTACTATTAGCGAAACTGCTTTAGATCGAGAACAAAATCTTTCAAGTCCTGTAAAACTAGAACAATCCAGAATTATAAATCCCAATGATTACTTTGTATGGGGTGATCTAATAGATATGTGTGTATCTAGACAGAAATTTTCTCTTAATAAGATTTATGATGCAATTCAGGCAACAGTTGCCTGTATTCAAACGACATTAAGATTATGGGTACTCAAAACAAAGGATATGAATGGTGAACTTTATTTTGATATGACGCCAAAACTAGATCTTGCCAAATATAAAGTTAACTTAGTTGAGCTAGGAGAAGAGGTGGTAAAGTTAATTAATTTAATAGATTGGGCAGTTACCAAAGGTCTAATCCTTTACCGCAATATTAATTTTCTACCATATCCGCTAAATAGTCCAGCTCATGATACAAAGTTCTTTAACCTTTTCCTAGGATTTTTGGCTAAGCCAGC